TTTCTAATCGTACATTTGTGTTTAATCCCCGTTTATCCACACGCTTCTTTCCCAAACCTTCAACAGCTATTTGCTATAGACAATGACAGCGACGACAACATTGACGGCGACGATAACAGTAGGGATGATAAAGATAAAAATAGAAAAAAATTGATCTTAAGCACTAAATTCAAGTTACTAATTAAATTCTATACTTTCATCACCACCAACAGTTACTTGTAGCAAAGTAGCACTATTGATACCTATCACCATTAGTGTCATCAATGAAAAGGTTCATACTTTTAATCAACTATTTAACGACACTTCCTAAATTCTAGGCAACGCCATACATAATACCGAATAGTCTAAATGTAAAACAGTAAAAAAAAAAAAAGAAGCAATAACAGCAAGAAGAAAGAACAGTCATAAACTAACCATATGATGATGACGATGACACAGGGATCACAGTTTCTGGGAGATCATTATGTATTTCGTAGTCCTTGCTGGACTCATCGTCAGGACTACCGCTGTCAGCGACAGCGCCACCGTCACCAGAACCAGAACTTTCATCAAAGTCATCCTCATCGTCCGACCAAGCCCCCATATATCCTGAACCTTCTGCACTGTTTATCTGAAACAGCTAGAATAAATAATTCAATTAAACAAATTCTTTTCTGTCTCTCCGGTTGTATTAACAGTGTACAGTAATTTATAAAAAAGTATGAATTTCCCCTCTTTCTACAGACTTTTCTTTGAGAGACAAAAAGTTGCCAATTTTTTAAATCAAATTGTTTTAATAAGTGCAGAAACAAAGCCTATAAAAGAATATGTCAAATTTTAATAGATTTTTGTGAACACACAGAATTAATATAAAATATATTATCAGTGTTTTTGAAACGCTTATCAAACCTCATGTTTTTTTTATTTTAAAAAAAAAAAAAATAAAAATTTTTCAGAATACAAACAGTTCCCTTAATTAATCAATTTCCTTTTCATAATGCTCGTTTTTTTTTTTTTTTTGCTGTAAAAAAGAAGGCCAT